TGTGTGTGTGTGTGTGTCGAGTTGTGTTTCCTAACAAAATAATTGAGCTCTTGGCTGTGCGTGATAGAAACGCACCTGTGACCGCATCACAGCGTATTAATTAAAATATTAATGCGCTGCCCAGAAAAAACCGCAGTCATAACATAGCAGGCATACATTGAGAACCGGTCGGTGAGACAATAGAAAGTGACCGGATATATTGTATTGATTAAGAGCGGAATCATTCCGAGCACGTGCATGTGGCGCTGTTGCCATAACAGCGGCGTGAAGCCCCGGTGCTTTGCAGTGATTTTCGGGGCTTCTCTCTGCCTAACAGCGCCTCTTGGCTGCGCTGAAATCTCTAAAGCTCTGCACCGAGTGGCTTTCTGCCTGCTTTTCGGACTTGCCTTGTATAGTCAACAACACCGTCTCCCGCTAAACAAGCACTGCTGTCACACGCAAGCGTGAAATCTGACGTGATGCTCTTGCCACCGTCCCATTCAACCGTTTGTTGGGATCCTCCCTTCAGACAGTCGTGCGTATGCGCTGGTAACGAAACAACGGCATTGTCAGAGCGGTGTTTAAACAGAAACGGGCGATTGACAGAGGGGAATCAATAGGTAACTTGATCGGGATTGATTTCCTGCGGCAATGTAAAGATGGCGAGAGTGCTCCACAACTTGCTGTTGTTTCTTATCAGACTTGCGCTGAAAATCCGAGTTTTGGGGTATTGGTCGTTGATATACGGTTATTGTGCTCTTTGCACCATCGTAGCCCTGCTGAAACTTTGGTGGAACATCATCTTAAGGCCGACAGCAACCTTCCAATGGGCGATTCGTGAAACTCCCCCGGCTTGTCTGAATGACACGTCCTTGGGAACCCACTGTTATGTTAGGATTAAGGTAAGACGCACACGCACATGCACTTGGACATGAAAGGTGTCTGGTCCCTGCAAGGGGGAAAAGCCCATTGTGTGTGTGTGTGTGTGTGCCTCTCTTGCTCGCTAGGATGTTACAGGGCTACAACACCTTGCTTGTGTCGCGTCGTGAAAAAGACAAACAGGCCTGATCTGCTCACAGATCATGAGGCGTCTGTTTATTTGATTTAGCTGAGACGTTTTTCGGCGGAGAGAACCGTGTGTCGGTGTGCGGGCGCTGCGCTCAGGTGGTGCTGGAAGAACAGCTCCTCCGCCTCACGTCTCAACACGCAGGGTATATGAGCGGCGGGCTGCCAGCCTCTAACTCACAACCTCTGTGTTCAACATTATGTAATTAAATACTGAAGCATGCCACAAAAACCCACCGAAACCAAAGCCCCGTGCGTGTCAGCGGCGGAGGAATTACTCTCTTAAGTGACTCGGTGGAACTACTGCAATATAAACATTAACCAGTGAAAGTACTGCGTCTAAAATCTGAAGTAAAACAGGAGTAATATCCTTAAAATCTACGTAAAGTATTTTATTTCTGTGTAAGGCAATGCATCATATAAAGTGATAAACTGATCACATGTTTTCTATATAAAATCTTAATCTGAGAAGTAACTACTTGCTGTAGCTGCTGGATAGATTTACTGCAGCGAGAAGTGCAATATTTCCTCCTTAAACGTTGTGAAGTAGAAGAACAAAGCAGAAAAAGTACCCCAAGACTGTACAGTACTTGAGTAAATATACTTAGTTACATTCCTCCAATGTCCAGTGGTATTTTAAAGGAACCACCTCATGGGTGCTGGAATAAATAATAATAAAAAGTATTAGTTTATAAAGATGTTAAAACTTTCTCTTTTTTCTATTGGATTTACATGTGTACAGTTGTATTAATGTCAGGAAAGAGGTTATGCCATGTTGTTTATCAGTTTTATCCACTAAAAAGTCATACAATTTGTATAAAAGGTTGTTAATAACTATTAAATAGGCTATAAATGGCCATTTAAATGAATGCATTTAGTATGACACCACTATATAGACAGACTCTGTCTCAGCAGCCCCTCTGACTGATACCAGCGTCCCTCATGTTACCCTGAGCTGCAGGCAGCAGTCCCACACTTAGATTAATTACTGCCAATGTTATTTTGCATCACCTGCGATTTGATCCTAAATGTAGCTGTAAAGCCACTATATCAAACAGACCAGGCTTAGTTACAGTGGCAGTTTATCAATGATAATTCAAGAAGCTTCCTATTAGTCCAAACGCCTTGTCTGTGAAACTGGAACTTACACACTCAGAATGTGTTTTGCTTATTGTGACTTCACTGTGCAGAATGATGTACGTGCAGAGTTTGACACTGCAAGGCTGTTTTATACATTCATCTGCTGAAGTTTACTGGTACTCTTATTCTGATAATATAATATTCTAGCAGGAAAGTTTGTGATACACTGATTCTCACTTATGTGTTGATTCAGAATTAAGTAAGCCGTTCCTGCATTGTTTTCCTCATAATTACATTATTGTCCACTTATTTCCATTCAGCTACAACCTGTAATAGTAATTTAAAAATGCTGACCTGTTCTATTGTGTGCACTAAAGTGGCTGTGGAAAAGGCTGTCAGCTTGACGTTTATATGTGTCTTCTTTCTACCCAGGAGTCTGGCCTTAGGTTTCACTATGTTGCTGCTGGAGAAAGAGGAAAGCCACTCATGCTGTTTTTACACGGCTTCCCCGAGTTCTGGTAGGTCAAAGGGAAATTAGGGTGGGTGGGGGTGTAGTTGCAGTAACAGTATTAGCTCCACTGCACTCAGCAGCGGCGAACAACCCCACTGTAAGATTATGCTTGTTCAGTTATGTGGTGTTTGTTACTTCGGTCACCTCTCTAAGATTTCCCCTGACGATGAGAAATGCTTGGCTGTAATGTCTGAGCTTTACTGCTAAAATCTCTCTGCGGTCTGGCTCCTGGGCTGCAGAAACAACTCCACGCCAGCGAGGAGTCCTCATTCACAGACATGATTTGCCATCGGGAGGGGGAAAGGGTCCAAAGCATTCAAGATCTATTCCTCCTGATATAAAATGAAAAACAGAGTTGAACATTGCTCCTGGATTGGGGCCAGAGAGGTTGTCAAGAGCTGTAAGCCTGTCCATATCTCTAACATACTATCTAAGCTGCTGACAGGACAGGGATTAATTAACAGTAGAGGGGAGCTCTTTCTGCCTCACTTGCTGTATTCTTCACAGGAATGATGAACTGTGCTGAGAGTGACATGGTTGGCTAGAACTCTTCACACTTTTGTAAAATGTGCTAATTCCCTCTTAGAAATGAGAAAGAAGAGTGTGTGTGTCAGAGGGAGGGCGGAGGGGTCCGAGGGGCTTATTTTGCTTTAAACCTCATCTATATTCTAAGATCTGAGGGTTGAGTGCCGGGATCTTATACTGACTCATCAGAATCACAGTCAGGGCTCTGCATCTTGCTTCCTCTCGCTCGGCGGAGGGCAAGAAGGAGGAGGAGGAGGGGGATTTCAGTCCTGATGAGGAGCCTATACAGCAGACAAGATCTTCAATTAGGAAGTCATCCCAGTCCACGTGATCAGTGGGCGGACTGGAATCTAAAACAGCTTCTAATTCACGGAGGTGACCTTCACTCAGCTGGTAAGAAAGCTGAGTGCTAGCTTTAAAAAAGAAAGTTAGTGAAGTTAGCTCCTAAGTATCTCACATTTGTATGGTATGAGCACTTTTAAAGGGGCACTCCACCGGTGTTGCACATAAAGTTGAGTTTAAATGTCATGGGAGGTACTGCTCAACTCAGTTGTATAATGTGTAGT